TCTTGGCTAGGGCAGTAATTGATGATGTTCTGGCCCCTCTGAACCTCGATGAAATTGCAAGCAAGCTGCCGCCCAACTGTAGTGGGAGCGAAACTGTACATATGGCTAGATCGCTTGTCTTCTCTCGCCATGCGGGTGAGAGGATCCTCCGCTGTTGGGGTGGTGGCTCCGGGTGGGCTGTAGAGGATGCTAAGGACAAGATAATGAAGCTGCTAGAAGAGTATGAGAGTGGAGGTGTTGTTGGGGAAGCATGTCAGTGCATTAGGGATCTTGGGATGCCCTTCTTCAACCATGAGGTTGTGAAGAAGGCATTAATTATGGCCATGGAAAAGAAGAATGATCGGATGCTTGATCTTCTTCAGGAGTGTTTCAGTGAGGGCCTGATCACGATCAACCAGATGACTAAAGGGTTTGCTCGTGTCAAGGAAGGGCTCGATGACCTGGCACTTGACATTCCAAATGCCAAGGATAAATTAGAATATTACATGGAGCATGCTAAGAAACGAAACTGGATCCTGCCAGGTTTTGATATAACTGATGAAGATGGCTTGTTGGCTGCAGCTTCTTGAAGGGGTAGAAGTGAAGATATGATTTAGGTGTCAGCCTCTTGCATGTTAAACAGTGAAATGCGCATTTACCTCACGAGTATCGCGCTGTTAGTTGGCTCCTTAATGTTCATCTTTTGTTTTCTTAAATTCACCTTCTGATATGATAGAGTTTATTTTGAGGATTAGATGTATAAAGTTTTTATTTCTATTAAAATTGACTTGTCGCTTAGACTTGCGAAATCTTTGCATTAGTTATTTGTAATTTGATTTGACTTTTTTGTTAGATGATGATGACATTGTTCAGTAGAACTCGTCGGATGTAATCCACTGTAAATTTTTAAGAGTTTGCAGGCTACCATAAATCAAAATTATGTTGTGGAAACAATGCTTACAGAGCTTTACTCCTGGACCTGATCTCAGCTGCCGCATTTAGGGGTTGTTAGTATCTTGCTGTGCAGCTGATGTGCCATTGAAAAATAACAGTCAATAACATTGTCGAGTGTGAATTCATAACCGAGTTGTGAATATATGTTGAAAATTGAGTGAATGATCGTTCAAACTTATCTATTACTTACTTGGTAGTACATTTGCACATTTTCTATAAAAACTTTATATGCGACTATTGGTTTCAAATGACTTTCATGATCACTTTATATTAATATACTTCATATTAAACAACGCAATGCGCTTAGTACAAGACTTGATCTCATGATAGCTTATTATTTTGTAAAGCAACTTCTACAGCTTGTGATACCTTTGGAAATACTTTGGCTGAGTTTGCCACCTTTTCTGGGCAACTTGTTAAATTTCATAAATCATCAATTGTTTTCTCTAAATATATTTCACAGCAAAATAAATATGTTTTAGCTATTAAAAAAACAAAAAAAAAACACCGTTTTAGCTAGTTACTTTAACATGACCCCTAAGTATGTCTCGGTCGTTCTTTGGAGTTTTCTTTGATTCCAATACTTATAATAAAGACAACTTTCACCATTTGATTACAAAGGTAGATCAGAAAATGAATGGTTGGTCTTCTAATCTAGTTTCTAAACCAGGTAAAGTCGTTTTAATCTAGAGCCATCTTGACTTTTGAGGCTGTTCCTTCTTATGCTATGTCCACAGCTAGATTGCCTGTATCTACCACTTCCTCGATCTCTTGATAGAATAAAAAGAGATTTTTTTCTAGAAACAATCTCCTCAAAAGAACGGATTGCCCTTGGTTGCCTGGGATACTATTTGTCAGCCTAAGAGTCAAGGTGGTCTTGGTTTACGTAAATCAGAGGCTGTAAATTTTGCCTTCTTAGCGAAGCTAGGTTGGAAACTTCTCACTGATCCGAATAATCTGTGGGTACAATCGGTTTCAGCTAAATATCTCCGTCATTCCCACTTCTTTTGTTACCACCCCCAATCTAAGTAGGAAATGGTTCTTCAATCCTATTTTGGGTTGATATTTGGTGTGTTGATACTAATATCATAACCTTATTAGATTTGGACCCAAATATTATCTCCAATCTTGATATTATGTTGATACTTTTATTAGAGATGACAACACTTGGGATGTTCCCCTTCTTCTATCCATCCTTCCACTTGATTTGGTTCACAAGATCCGAGGTATCCCCCTACCCTCCTCTGCAAATCTGCAATGCCTGATGAACCTTGTTGGGGTTTATCAAAAGATGGTCAATTTACGGTGAAATCTGCTACGTGGTTAGCTCATAACTACTCTACTAGTTCTCCCAAATGGGACTTTCATTGGATATGGAAATTAGATATTCCCCCTAAAATACAACTTTTTTTTATGACAACTTCTTCATAACAGTCTCCCTATCCGTCAAACTTTGTTTTATGGAATACCCTCATCACTGTGCCATATGTAATAACTTTCCCAAAACACAAGATCACCTGTTCCTCCATTGTTCTTTTTCAATTGACCTTTGATCCAAATCTTGTGTTAGGAAATGGTTAGGAATTCTCCCTTCTTCCTCTTCCCTCCCTAATCTCTTGTCTTCTTTGAAAGTTATGTAACCACGTCTTCTCCCTAAGTTTGCTATTTTATTATGGAGTATTTGAAAATGTAGAAATGCTACTATTTTTAAAAACTCGCCCCTCTTACTGTTGTTTTCTTCTGTGCTTTTTCACTTTCCCATGAATGGCAGGCTAGGAACTTTTTGGATTCCCTTCACCAATCCAATACTACTCTCTCTTCCACCAATCAAAAGATAAGGAGGCAACTACAACGATAATCTCGTGGTCTCCTCCCCCGATAGTTACTGTAAGTTTAATTTTGATGGTTCTGCAACTCATAACACTTCTACAGCAGCTGGTGTTGTTATTAATTAGGGACTCCTTTGGTAATCATATTGTCAGTCGTACTTATTACTTGAGTTCATGCTCAGCTTTTCTTGTTGAGGCAATTGCCCTTCGTAATGGTCTTCTCTTGGCAAAAGATCACAATATTTCCCATATTTTTTATAGAAGGAGATAATTTGACTGTTATTATTATTTTGCAGGGTCATTTTAACTGCCCATGGAAGCTTTAGCTCCTAATGGAAGACATCAAGACTATCTTGAATTCCTTTTCGTTCTTCAATTCCCAGCACATTTTTCGTGAAGGAAATAGAGCAGCAGATTATGTGGCCTCTTTGGGTTACTCTACTTCGACCCACCAAGATATCGATCCGTTCATGGATAGCAAGTTTTCTCATTTTGTACTACAAGATAGATTAGGGCACGGTCTTGTGAGAAGACGTTCCTAATCTCTTTCCCTGTATCTTACCCCCCCAAAAAAAAACCTACTAAACCATACAATAATTGATGTTACTCCCTCTGTTTTTTTATTTGCATCAGTTTGACTGGGACATATGCCGAGATACAACTTTGACCATTAATATCTTTAATTGTCTATTAGTAAAAATTTTAACAAAATTATATTATGAAACTAGACATTATGACTAATCTAATGATATATTATATAATAACATTTATTTATTTTATAGAGGTGAAAAAATTAAGTCAACCATAGTTTGTGAATAGTGCAAAAATCAAAGTGATGCATTTAAAAAAAAATGGAAGGAGTATAATCTAAAAGTAAAATATGACGAGTAATAACTAAACATTTAGGAGACATTATTTTGGCCTATCGCTCGGACCTAAACATTTAGGAGACATTAGTTAGACATGAAAAGTTTTAGTTTTTGCAAGTTGTTTAAAATTCTAAAAATAAACTACTTGATTCATTGTATAAAAGCAATTTACGGATTTTCTTAACTATGTTGGGGAATAAATTATATTCTATCTCCCAAATTTAATAAAGAACAATAACTTAAAAGATAACTTTTTTCATATCTTAAATATTACTCCATACTATATACTCTTTATTTCAAAGTAGTATTGGCTTAATGGATGAAAATATATCTTCACACGAGTAAACTCATGGGTATCTCATTTTTTTTATTGACATGTTTTTTTATCACGTTTGTCAATGTACAATTTCAACACATAAACTACTACCTCTACTTCAGATTACTCGCAACAAACATGTTGCGCGCGGACTCCTAACAAAAGATTGAAGGGTGATTAATTAAGTGGAAGGGTATGGTATTAGGAGAGATAAAAAAGAGGGAAAGGTAGTGGTCCCTATTTTTACTTTATGCAAACAAGTGGGAAATTTTTTGAGTGGGATTTTTCCCACCCAAATTTAGGTCTGACTTTTTGAAAGGGACCCAAATTTTATTAACCCTCCCCCCTCCCCCCCTCTCTCCTCATTTTTTAAAATTTTTTGCCAAAGTAACCCTAAATTTAAATTTTCATTTATTTCAATCAAAAAGACCCCTATAAAAAGAGGTCACCCATCTAACTACTCCTATTTTTTTTTTCTTCAGTTTCAATGGGATTAGGGGATAGGGGGATAAGCATTAAATTTGTTCACAAAAATCAACAACTTTAAATTTACAAAAACAGGCAGCCCTACAAATTACATCCTTATAAAATTAGTAGCTATACCTTAATTTATAATTGCCCTATTAGTTCCAGCAGCATCCTTATGTACAGAAATTAGGCTCTATTGAAGACCGCAAAAAAAAAAAACCATCATCCGCCACTTCATCACCTTCATCAAATCTGCAAATATTCAAAGGGACTACTCATGGCAAATTTCTTTGAAGCGGAATTTTGTGGACTACATCAGCTATATGAAGAGGAACAACAACATGCAACATTTGATCACAGCTTGGATGAAGCAGACATCGGACATCATGATTCACTCAGTCATGAATCAAACATGACATACCAACAAGGCAACAATCAACATGCACAGGAAGGGTATGAACCAGATGATGATGATGCGGCTGAAGATGATGCAGACCAAGAAGATGAAACTGATGTGACAAGGGATAGGAGATAAATGATATAGTAGATGAAAAGAGGCTTCTTGTTGATGATATCTTGCTGAACATGGAAGGGGACTCATTGCCTAGAGGATATTTATCCACCTTGGCCAGAAAGTACAATGTTCACAGATCAACAACAACAAGATGGTTCCAGGTAGTTAAAAACACTTAGAGGAGGGGATTATTATTGATGTTAGGACCAAAAATCTAGGTAAAACAGGTGGCAAATCTAAACAGTACTCAGATGAATGGCTGTCATCTGTCCCTTTGTATAAGAGGACCACTGAAAGAAGCTATGTTGTAGCCCTTCATGCGTCATCCTCCACCATACATAGGTTAAGGAAGAAAGGCAGATTTAGAACACACACATCAACTAATTATCCAGCACTCACTGATAATCACAAAATAGCAAGACTGAAGTGGGTTCTAAGCTTTGTGAACCCCATTCCTGTTGTAGGAGATCCTACCTTTAGGGATAGGCAGCAAACAATTCACATAGATGAGAAGTGGTTTTACTTAAACCTAGAAACAAGAACGTTTTATCTGCTACCAAATGAGGAAGACCCATACAGAGCACAACAATCTAAGAGTTTCAAGCTAAAAGCTATGTTCATGGGTATGATTGGCAAGCCAATGTATGATGAACACAAGAACCTCTTGCATGATGGGAAGTATGGGTTGTTCCCTTTTGTCAAGTATGAAGTTGCCAAGAAGAAAAGCAAAAATAGAGACAACGGAACACTAGAGACAAAGGTAGTCTAGGGAGTCAACAAGGAAGCTATAAGGGACATGCTACTAAATCATGTAATTCCAACTTTACATAAAAAAGGGCCTCCACAGTTACCAAAGGATATAACAATTCAGTGGGACAATGCTAGGCCACACCAGAACCTAAAAATGAAAAATTTCAAGCAGCATTGCAAGCATATGGGTTCAACATACAGTTTATCTTTCAATCAGCACAACGTCCAAATTTAAATGTGTTAAATTAAATCTTGGTCTGTTTAGGGTTATTCAGTCCATTCAATATCAATCATTTCCTAAGAATCTTGATGAACTAATAGAGAAAGTGGAAGAATCTTTTGATGAATCTGATCCAACTGTGAACAAGTACACATGGATCACCCTACAATCTTGCATGCTTGAAATACTAGCAAAGAAAGGTGGGAATGATGGGCGTTAGAACGGTCGTACATTCCACACTCAATCAAACACATTTATTAACAAACACCTTACAGACCAAGCATAATGACAAGTAAGAGTTCGGTCCACAAGGAACGGGATATGATTGCCAAAGATCTTTACACTCAAGCTAACTCGAAGTCAATTGGTGAATTGGGGTTCGTCAAGAAGACAAACAAATTATGGTTCTAAATCAATGAATTAAAGATACTAGGGAATGAGATCCACTCAACCAAGGCAAATAGGCAAACGGGGAGTAAAGTAGACAAGATATAGCAAGGACTATATGTAAAATCAACCTCATGCAATTAGAAAACAACTCACACTACTAAACTTAAATTCCTCATTAGTTTAGCAATAGATGATACATAATCAAATTACAATAAGTAATGACGTACTCAATTTACACTTCCATGTCAAATTAGGCATATCATACTATCAAGCTCCTTAGTCAAGGGTAGCTAAACCTATCATGAGGAACTAACAAGCAATCTCATATAATCAATTTAATTGCAATACAAACATCAATGCTTCTCCCACATTTGCATAGTTAACCCAAAAGGTCGAGCTTCACCCAACCCCTAGCAAGAAGACTACTCACAACTCATGTTTATCAACATGCAATCAAGAATTAGGGTTCTAAATACTTCAATAATTGGGGAAAAGTGGTTAAAATAACTATCATCCAATAACAAATTACCAAGAACTAAGAAGATTTAAATAACATGCAAATACCAAATAAAATCTGAAATTAAAAGGAAGAAGGTTGGAGAAATTACTAATTGAAGCTTCAAATGTAGAATACAAATTGCCAAACTTTGAGAATAATTCTTGAATTTCACTAATACAATGATTTGATTTGATGAAAACTAAGCTAAATTAATCCTAAGGAATGTTTCAAACTAAGAGAGGTTTCTGAAAACTAGGCTACTGTCTTTTTTCTCTTTTTTTCAAAAACGATCTCAAAAGGAACTTAAATAGTCCGTACAAAATTGGCTGAGATCGGGAAAAGGTCCGACCGAACTCTGGGTAGGTTCGGTCGGACTCAGGATAGGTTCGGTCGAACCCTGTGTAGGTTCGGTCAAACCTCCCTGATCCTTGTTTGGTCGAACTTTTGAGGTTCGACCTCTCCTGCAAAATTGCTGAAAACTGGTTTGACACTGCCTTCACTGCACCCTGGAGGTTCGGTCAAACTTTTCAAAAATTTGACCACACCTAGGTTCGACCGGACCTTTCAGAGGTTCGGCCACACCTCCTCTTGCACTTCCTTTTCTTGCTTCCTCTCCTTCCCTTTTGCTCCTCTTGCCTTTGCCCATGGCTTCCATACTTGGCCAAGGGGCCTCCCACCGTGCATAGGACCGTCATGAAACCTGCAGAAGATACCAAAGTTCACGAGAGTATGGGGATGATAAAATAATGCATAAAGATTATCAAAATAAGCGCAAATAAGCATTACTTTTCATCAACACATAAAGAAGCCATAAGAGGATAAATGAGGTGGAAAAACCTAAGAAAAATAAGAGGAAAAAGACCTAAATACTACCCCTAAGAGTGACATAAATGTCACTCATCAGGGAACAACTTTGTACCACCCCACATGAAAAAGAGAAGCTTAGACAGACAAGGCCTACTTCCAAATTTACTAGAGGTTGATGATGTGTTCATTTTATATAGAGATTTACCCCCGCCCCTTGGTCATATTTAGGAGTATTATTGGCTCTTTGGAGCCACTTTTATTACTAATATGCGATTTCTACTGTTTTCGTAGATTTGGTACTGTTTTATAGGAAATTGCATACTCGGACTTATGATAAGCCACTACGAGCATTGGAGTAGGATCACACTCATATGACCATATTCCGTAGCCCAAGACCACGTTTGTTGGAGTAATCAAACAGGTGATTAAGGGCTCGGTGAAGAAGAAGAGTTCGTGGCATTGGACCGAGTCTTAAAGACCCAAAGAGGAAATGCGAATTGGGCCAAGAACATAGCCCAAGTGAAGAGGTCCAGCTTGCCCGAGAGCTCGCCCGATCGGGTAAGCCCTCGCCCTGAGGCGCGCTCGGCCGGCGAGGCACATAGAAAGAAGGCGCCCTTCGCCCTGTCTCGTGCCAGTGAAGAAGATATGAACAAAAAGGCGGGCCCGGCCGGGCGAAGCTTCGCCCGACCGGGCGTGTGTTTCTAATAGGAATTTCGGCAATTTACTTTGTTTTTAATTAGGATTTTAAGCTGACGTATAAATACGTTTTTAGCAAGTGACGAGGAGGGTTCTCCTCATTAGTTAATTTCTAGATTTTAGTTTTAAGCTTTTAGTGAATACTCTTGTTTTCTCCCTACACTTTAGATTGATACAATTCATCATCTCCGTTTATTTTGGTAACGATTTATTCCCCTTTTATTTTCAGTAATAATTGTTTTGATTTTAATATGCTTTGTTTGATTGCTTTGCTTAGTTTAGATTTAATTATGCGTGAGTAGTTTTATACTAGGGTTTGTGGGGATCCATAAATAATATGAAGGGGTAATTTATCATTGTTGATTGTTAATGCTTTGGTTGATTTCCTACTGATTAATCTACTGCTATGCAATTAGATTAGCGCTGGTTTAATTGTATGAGTTATGCAATATTGATTCGAGATTCGAGAGATGAGAATTGATGTTTAGGCTTAGTTTCAATAGGCAGGTTAATTTATAAATGGTTAAGTCAAGATTCGAGAGATGCGATTTAATACCGATAGATTAATTCTGTGATTGTAATACGTAGCGAAAGCCCTTTATGATCTGATTAATTGATGCATTGATGATTGATTGTTGTGTTTTACCCTGGAATATTATTTATTGGTGAACCTATACCCTAGGCTTTTTATTATTGATTACTCCATTAGTTTAATTATAGTCTGTAGTATAATTCTCACAATTCTTACTTGTTACTTGATAATCTAGATTATATTAATTATTTAGGAATAGGAAGAATTGTTTCCCGGTGGATTCGACCCTACTTCCCTATCTAATTTAGTTAGAGGACTTAGTTAATCTTTTGATTAGGTGATACGACTTTAGCCTGTCAGTTAACAAGGAGCTCATACAGACAGTGGTGCAGTACTTGAACACAATTTCAGTTCCAACAACAAGTAACCATCAATAAGAAGCAAACATGGAGGTGGATGCAGACTAAGCACAGAAGAGTACAAGCCTACAATTTTTGGGACTCATAGACTGCCACACATAACCATTAACCCCTAAATTAGTTTTTTGTTTTAGTTTATGTTTTGGTTATTATGTGTATTTTGGTAAATACTTAGATTACATTATTAGTCGGTCATGTATTAGGGAAACAAAGTAAATTTAACAAACTTTCGTAACTAAAACAACTTTTTGAATGAATGAAAAGAGAAACCTTTTGTACCTAGTCCATCAGATAGGGTATTTTCACTCAAAGCAATCTTGAAAGTGGGTTCCTCAACAACAACTTCAAGTTGAAGTCACTAGAGCTTCCTCACCTAACAATAAGCTATCAGTTGAGTCCCTTCATCATTTGGAACTTACACACAGTGATGCATTATATTTGTGTGTTGGGACTCAATGCATCTAGCAAAGGACCTGGGAGAGGACTCAGATGGTATTAGGCAAATACACTCAACAGCATACCAACAAAAGCTCACAACAAATCAGGTAACACCAAGTAACTTCAGGCCACCATATTGGTAACAACAAGTAAGATCAGGCCACCAAGTAACATCATGGTAACAACAAACAGGCCACAAAAAAAAAAAAAAAAAAAAAAAAAAAAAAAAAAAAAACCAACCAGGTAACAAAGTAAGATCATGGTTTCAACCAACAACCCACAATAACAAACAAAGGCATCCAACCACAAACAATAAGCAACAACTTAAAAATTAAGGCAACAGAGACAACTTCAGGCCACCAAAATGGTAACAAGCAAACCAACAACAACATCACTATATGTAACACCCCAATAATTCTCTCTTTAAACCTGTAAATACCTTTAATAAAATACAAGAGAATTACTGACGTCCTACCGCCACGTGTTCAAACGTTAAGGCTAATTCAGAATTTAACAGCGGAAAAACTAACTCAGTTATAAATAAGTTTCACAACCAACGAACAAAACCAAATTAAGTCTTACAAGTTGGAACCATTAAGGCCCTTATTCAAAACCCAATAAACAAAGTGTTAAATGAACCAAACCAGAGTTTAAATTAATTCAAACTTAAGAAATGAAATAAACTGCATACAATAAATAACTCTCCACTCAAAATCCCACCACCTTGATGCAAGTCCAAAATATGTAAACACCTGTGATAAGTTTGCTCCCCAATGTTACAAGTGTAAAGATTGGATCATTACAGGGTCATTGAAAGGTGAAGGCCATGACCAAGAAAAAGACACACAAAGCACGCAATCAGCAACGCTGAGCACATACAAGCTACGAACTATAACAAAGAATTCTTAGCATGCTACTAGTTATCAATCAACACACAACAATTTAATTATTGACTCAAACATGTGACTCAATTGTTATTATTACTAAGACTTCTGTAATTAGTACTGATTATTTCATCTCATTTTATTCATTGGATTAAGCAATAGACAAGGTTGTCTTCCCATGCTCTAATTCGGAACATCAATAAAAGAAAAACCCAATGCCTTCTTTCGGAAACATCAATAAACATCCAATGGTAGACGGGCGCGACTCCGTGGCCATAGCTAGTATGAGATCTCATCTAACTCCTTATAGTTTTAAAAAGTATTTGAAAACAAGAGACTCGTAGATCAAACGGCCTCTAGAAAAGTGAACTGCTAATACCCCGTGTACCCCAACCCCTGTTTGTCATTTCTATAGATGTGCACAAATCCAGAGTTTTATTGCTCATCCTTCTTGCTTTACGTGAGTTACAGGTTTAAACTTGGTGGTGACTCATTTACAAAAGCAATACAACCAATCAAGCAAGTTCAATTTCCAATTTAATTCTTGATATAGTAGTGACAAACAACATTTAGTATTGGATTCTTTTAACTACCTCGGTGTATAAACACCTTAAGTGCATGAGGCACCTCAAATTCTCAACCTCGTCTTATAAGACTTCAATTCTTCCTTTACTCATTACATTTCAATAATCATGAACAAGTAATAATAATAATTCAAGTAACATGCTCATGTATTTTTGCCTCCAAGTTCATCTTGCAAGTTAATGCATATAAAATTACTTACCAGATAACTTAGCATACATAAAGTTATAAATCATGCACATTCAAGCATAAATACCAAAGAGATTTATTACCAAACAATTTCAATCAACCACAAGTTTCCTAATCATGATTCTAAGTTTTCCGATCCTTAAACATGCTCCTAAAGTCAAGGTTTTTCGTATCCTTGTACGTACCTTGAGTAAATGAATTGGTTGTCCACTTTAGAAACTAGAAATCGCCTTCTACAAAGTCCTCTCTATTGGTGGTCACTGGTGCATGCGGTGGTCACCGGAGCAGCAGGGTGGCGCCGATGGTGGACTGGCGTCGGCAGTAGCAAGGTACAACAACGATTTTTATTATTATTATTTTTTCTGGTTGGTGCGTGAATGGAAGAAGAGGCAAAGCAGTGATGGAGTTTGTGAGGGAGTGAGGTTTACGTGAGATTGGAGGGGAAAATAAGGGGAAAAATTTTAGGTGGATATAAATAATAAGAAGTGGGTTTGAGGGTTTCCTAATCCAAATATAATTAGGATAACTTGTTTAGGCCCAAATATATACCAAAGCTTAAAAAAAAAATGAGATGCAAGGTTGGGCTTTGAGGTAAATTGTACTGGGCTCTTAGTTTGTATGGTAAAATGATTATTGTTAATAGCTAGTAATGACTAAATAACTCAAACTAATTTATTATTTTCAAAATATTTATAAAATAATTATATCTTTAATAATAAAGTTTAATTATAAATAATAAAATTTAATTATAATAAACACAAAATCATGGGGGGTTACACTATACTACAGTTAGGGTTTCCATAGCAAACAACAATCCAAACCATAATAAAACTCAATTCATCCAAAAAAAATATTACGGTTTTAGAATTTACGCTGCGTAATTAGTTTGGGGGAATGTAGTACTGGGGGTAGTAGATCTGCAGATACGCCATGTACACATCATCTGTCTCAAGACCTTCGGGGAGGCAAGATCTGATGCGCTTCACACCAGAACTAGGCTCAACAGCACTCCCACCCAGCATCTGATGGGACTCAGGTGGCTGGAGAACTTCCCTAGCAGTCAGCCAGAGTCCCCAGTCTTAGATTTAGCATCAGAGACCCCTCTAGCACCATCAACAGCCACCACAACATCAGCACTCCCCTCAGCGGCAGGTTTCTGAACCAGATATAAGGCTGGAGTAGGTGAAACATCGTTATTAGTTCCAGAAACCCCATCAACGGCCTTCGCCGGTTTCTCCTCCTCATCACTGGAGATATACTCCGTCAATTTAGCCCCACGAATCTTTATCCTCGCAATTATAGAAGCGCGACGAACTGGTTTCATGACACCAGATCCACGTCGTGGCTTGTACCTTTGGGAAGATGCACAAGGCATAACGTTCGCAGTAGGAGATGGAGGGGACTCGTAGCAAGACACATATGGGTTTTCGTCTTTTGAAGAACTCTTGGTGAAAGAGAAGCGAAATCAAAGAAAGTAAAGCAAGAGAGAGAAAGGAGAGAACCCAGAAAATCAAGAGTGAGAAGGAGAGCGTTTTTGGAGAGAGAGAAGAGGGGAAAACTGAAGAACTAGGGTTTGGTGGGTGAGTTTTCTGGAAAAATCTCCAGAATTGATTGCACCCAACCATCTTCAACAGATGAATTGAATGTAGATGCATTCAATGAAGGTGGTTGGGAGATGGGTGATTTTAAAAGGTTGGATGTAATTTTGGTGGGAATGGTTATGATAATTAGCCTAGTGTTAAAAATAATGAAAGTAGATTAGTGGTTATAATAAGTTGTTAAAAAAAGTAAGGGTAAAATTGTCTTTTTGCAGTCAAAAACTTACTAAATAAGGAAAGAAAAATATTTGTTGCGAGTAATGTGAAGCGGCCATTTTTGGCAAATGTTGCGGGTAATATGAAGCAGAGGTAGCATTAAAAATTAATTTCATGAAAATATATGTTAAGATGATTATGAATCCCACATGATTATGTTACATCATATCTAGTCAAAATAGAATTTGTAAATAGTAACCAAAAGTACTCCGGATTTACCTAAATCTAATTTACTCCTTTAAACTTAATAATTGTGTCTATTATTGTATAAAACAAACTAAGCAAGTAAAGTACTCCGTATGTGACCCAAGTATGTAGTGAGTTAGTGACACATTGCATAATCCACTGCACCACAATCAATCAATAACTTAGTACTAAAAGCGAAATCAGTGATTACACATGTCATTCATTAGTTGAAGATTTCCCCCCCCCCCTTTTTTTTTTTTTTTTTTTTTTTTTGTATTGTCTATGACTATCCTACATAAAAAGTATTTCTAGCGTAATATTCACTTTTCACTTTGCTGATTATATTTTTCCCATACACACTCAAATGAAATATTTTCATATGTATATATTTTACATTATTTTTTTTTGTTATAAAAATGAGCATAAAAAAGTTGTATATTAGGATATTATAATTTGTTTTTTTAGTAAACAATTATTAAATTAATATTGTACTTCATTATAAATTAAGTAAAATTCGTGCATTACACGAACTTTAACTAGTCTCGAGAAATAAAGTAGAGAGATTGACGAAAAACATTAAGGGATAGATGAAGTATCAATTACGAGTAAATTAGAAATTACCACAACTAATGGGATAAAGATAATTAAGGGATAGATGAAGTATCAGTTCGACAGTGCTGCTGTAATAACTAATCGCACTTTCTCCTTTAAACAACTAAATATCTCTCTCTTAAAGTAGGCTTGGCCGCCGGCTAAAAGATAAATAAATCCGAGCAAAATTGCTGATGTCATCCGCCGGAGAAACCTCGGAGAAGAAGGCACACCCAATGAAACTCGTCGTTTTGGCCGACTTAAATGTCGATCCTCCTGAATTTGACGAGGATGATATCAACCCCTTCAACCCTTCTCCCCCTCTTCCTTCTAGGTCTTTCCCTCTCCTCTCTCTTTGGATTTTTTTGTAATTTTTTCATTATTTTGGGATGAATTTTGTTGCTAATTGGAATTTTGAGCTATTACCCAGTTGCTGAAACATGAGTTTTACCTTAGAAATGGGGCAAAGATTCAATTTTGTTCGGAATTTTGGTTACCCATTTGGACAAATTTAGAGGGGTGTTAACAATTAAGAGGCTTAGGCTAAGGAAGAGCGAGTAAGAAATTTAATTTATGGTGGAATTAATGTTAAGGACGTCATTAATAAGGATTGGGGGTCTTATAATTTGGTTTTTCTGTTTGCTGGTTTGATGTGTTGTTCTGTTAGGGCAATAATGTAGACGGGATTCGTTGTCGGGTAATTCCCGGTAACATGAGGACTAAAATGGTTGTTCTGTTGCGGTTGAGTGGTAGAGGTTCTCAAGTCCATGGTTCAATTTGGTATGATTGATATGTTATTAATATAATTAAGTTGTTTTCATTTAACTACTTGTTATAGAAATTAAGTGAACTATTACAAGCTTACAACATGTATTTGATTGTTAATTTTGATTTATGATGTTTAACATTCTTAACAATCAATGAGAGTAGTCAGGAAAAGTTAAGTTATGGTAGTAATATAAAAGATTGTCGATTATAGGTATTGTCGTATTGAGGTCACCAAGTATGGTCTTTTTGGTTGTTTGATGTGTTTTTCTATCTTATTTATTCCCTTGGGTGTATCTAGAGCCGCAAAGGGCAATGATGTAGACGAAATTCAGAAATTTGATCTCAAAGACTTTTTCAACTAAGCTAGTTGTGTTGTTTCGATAGAGTGGTAGAGGTTCTGAAGTCTATGGTTCATTTTGGCATATTTGATGCGTTATTATTGGACAAAAGTTGTTTTAATTCAGCTGTTAGTAATCGGATTTTTGTGAGAAGCAATTTTGAAGCTAAATTTTTATTTATGCAGGTTAACAATTAGTGAGAGTAGTCAGGAAAAGTTGCCCTTGTTAGTAAAAGAAAGCAGTGATGTTGTAGATGGCGAAGCTAGAAGGTTAAATAAAATGGGGAAGTGCCGTTCAAGGTCTGGGAAAGATGACCATCTTGACTGTGGGGTGGATGCGGAGGGAGATCAACATTCTCAAGGGACTCCGTCATCCCGAGAAGAAAAAGTTAGCAGCCTTAAAACTGTGAGTTGGTGTTTAATGTTTTAGTCATTGTTGTTTTCAAGCAGTAAGCTGTGTTGGAAAGATGTTGAATAGTGTTACAATTACTTATTGCTCTTCACAATTCTATCAGCGCATAATTACTTTTGGATATATGGAGTAGTTTAGAGGTTCTATGAAGAGACAGATTCCCATGTTAGATTGCTAGTCTTTGTCTTTGAAAGGGTCTTGGACAAATTTCAGGCAATGCCAAAGGCTGAAAGAAGAATAGATTTGTGCCAGGTTCATCAAAAGGTCTACTTGCATGTTTTGCGTTTGTCATAGCTTTAAAGAGTAATGAAGAATGGTGAAATTACCTTTTGTTTGCTCATAGTACAATTTGTATCAACAGAGGTGAAATTGCTTGCGGAAATGTTGCACATTCTTGTTTTGAGACATTGGTCCTGGAATGTAACAAAATTGGTAATTTCATAATTTTTGGATTTTAGCTCCATCTTCTTCCATAGAAATTCCAATCCATTCAAAAAAAAAATTCCAATCCATTCAATCATCTTTTTTGTCATTTTTTGTGTCCCTTTGAGGATGGTTCTCATGGAACATGCTACTTGACAAGTTTCCGAAGGTTTGTAGGCTTTTCTAGCTTAAACGGGTTGGTTTTTAAGCTTGGTGAGAAGAATTTTGCCAAGTAGCTGTAAGCAATTGTCTTGGTCTTCTTTTCTTATTTGTGAGACACCTGTATTAGATTTATAAGACAAATGATAACCTAGAAGCTAGAACAGATAAGACCCTGGTATTAATGATGAACCCTGCATTGCTTCATGTGAAATCAATGCAGAATCATCTCTGTTTGATCTGGAGTTAACATTGGCGAGTGTATATTGTGAAATATACACTCATTTTACAGATTACTACTGTTCTAGATAGAAATTCAGACAAAAGTCTCATCGAGGCAGTACTGGAAATTTGATAAATCATGGAGCCCTACAATTATTTTTAGGCCCTTTTTTATTATTATTATTATTATTGGCAATTGATTTTTAGTCTACTTTATAATGACTTTTTTCCCCCCTGTTTGTAACATAACAAATTTCCCATGTCGGTAGGGTTTGATACATGTGGCAAGGAAAGCTCCAAAAAATGCACATGCTCACTTTTTACTAGGCTTAATGTACCAGAGATTGAATCAGCCTCAAAAGGTTGCTCTAAGGTCTTAAAACCTTTTTTTAGGTCTCAATTCATTCTACTTATCTTTTGCGGCTAACTTGTGGAACTGTCTTTTAGGCAGTGCTTGACTACGAGAAGGCAGCAGAGATTTTACTCCGGTCTGATGAGGAGATTGACAGACCAGAATTGTTATCATTGGTCCAAATGCATCATGCACAGGTCTTTGTTCTAATTTCTTTAAGTTTGTTTTGGCTAGGATACTTAAGAATGATATTCACATTAAAATTGTGTTTGGGCAACAAATGTTGGAGGGAAGAAGGCAAGGAACTATTTTCCTTCCAAACCTTTCGAACTCACTAATTTAGTTTATTTACAGCTTATTTGGTTAGCCGGCGTAGCCCTTTAGGAAGGTAAGGTAAGGGAGGGAAGGAGAGGGAAGAGAAGAGGAGAGGATAGGATAGGAAAGAAAGAGATGGGATTAAGAAAAAGACAATGAGCTCATTTGAAATTATCTGACACCTATGAACTTGTTTATTCCTAATGTATACTTGTGCTAAAATTGCTGCCTTCCTTGCTGTTCAGTGCCTCCTCCTAGAGAGTCTTGGAGATTGTGCTTCAGATAAAGAGCTTGAACCTGAAGAGCTGGAAGAAATTCTTTCGAAGCTAAAGGAATCAGTGCTGTCAGATATTAGACAAGTACCTGTATGGAACACTTTAGGGATTATGCTTCTTAAATCTGGTCGTTTGGAGGTAAATTTGCTTACTATTAAATGTGTATGTTAAGAAACTGTAACATTATTCTGCATGTGATCTGACCTTTTTTTTATATTTTTTTTTTATTTTTTTTTTATAGAGTGCTGTTTCAGTTATGTCTTCCCTGTTGGCCTTGGCACCTCACAACTTGGATTGCCTTGCTAATCTTGGTCTTGCTCATTTGCAGAGGTAAGGGAATGTGGTTAATACTCTCTCTTTCATGCGCTTACAGCTTACTGGTTCTCTTTTGCAATCATAAATGTTCTTCATTACACATGAGGATAAATATGCCATGTGGAAATTATTGAAACAGAATGTAGCATGGATTAAGCTTCAGACAAATAAATAGAATTTTAGCCTTATTTGATTTTCTTGTTGATTATGGAAAAAATTTCACTTATTCTGCCATCCGATATATATTAAGGTCAATGTCCTTTTGATGTGTTGTGTGGTTCACTCCTTGCTTGGCTGTCTTAGTGTAGTTTGCGTGAATGACCAGGATTCCTGTATTCAAATGTTCTCAGTCATCTTGTGATGCTGGTGTTCTAAGGCTTTTCTTTATACCTGATTTGTAATTTCAGTGGGAATGTGGAGGCTGCCTCAAAATGTTTCCAGGAGCTAATTTTGAAAGATCAAGGCCATCCCAGTGCTCTTGTCAACTATGCTACCATTTTGCTGTGCCAGTATGGCTCAGCTGTTGCAGGTTTGAATTACTTGTTTCTTAACTTTATCTTACAGTACACATTTCTTTGTTGCTTCTGCTTTTTTCCAGTTTTAAATCTTTGGTGGATCTTTTTGCTATTGTCTATTACATATTGCTGTTATACGGTTGTCTTGTCTCCTACTACCCTAATGTTAATCTCTCTCTAATTGTCAGGAGCTGGAGCCAGTGCTGGGGAAGCTGGTGCAGAGTCAGATTCTGCCGCTGCTATCAATGTGGCAAAGGAATGTCTATTGGCTGCAGTCAAAGCAGATCCTAAAGCAGCTCATACATGGGCTAATCTTGCCAATGCATATGATATTAGTGGTGATTATAGAAGCTCTGGCAAGTGCTTGGAAAAGGTGGCTTTGACCTTTCTGATGAAATCAGTTTGTGTCCTTCAGCTGTCCTTTTATGTGAACGAGTCTCTATTGATATCTGAATAACAGCCAGATACAGTAACATATGTATTCAGGCCAGACTACTGTGTCTTTACCATGTTAATTGTAATGTTGCTTTACTTTTGCAGGCAGCAAAACTGGAGCCCAACTGTATGTCTACTCGATATTCTATTGCTATCCACCGTATCAAGGATGCAGAAAGGTCACAAAATCCCACTGAACAGATATCTTTGGCTGGTAATGAGATGGCTTCGATACTCAGAGAAGCAGATCCTTTGTTGATTGATCCTCCAATTGCTTGGGCTGGACTTGCCATGGTTCATCAGGCTCAGCATGAGATTGCAGCAGCATTTGAAAGTGAACAGAAGGAGTTGATGGAAGTGGAAGAGCATGCTATTTGCAGCTTAAAGCAGGTACATTGATACGTGATTTAGTTATACATGAGATGCTTGTTGTGAAACTATTTCTATTCATTCTACAATTTATTTAGATGAGGACATCAAATGAGTATTACGTCTATGATTTTAATAATTTAAAAATTAATCTTTTCAAGCTGTCCTATATTACTATCTAAATAGTTGGACCAGTCAATGTGTTATTGACTAAGGATCTAGTCAATACGTTACCTCTGAAGTAGCTGGAATGAGGTAGTCTAACATCTTTGTTCGATCTAAAGAGTCTTAAAATATGTGGCTGATTTTTTAGTTTGCCTTTCAATCTTTAAAGACCTGTGAAGTTTTTATTAATAGAAGTGCACATTGTTACAGCTCCTCCTTTGAACTTTACAATTAGTGTTGGCATGTTGCCCAATAAATTGCTACTTTGCTCTTAAAAATTCAATAACCGTAACATTTTACGGATAATGCTTACAATCTTTTTTACATGTACAAACAATAAAAAATTACAACTGCATTCTGCATAGTGCATATATGCCTTAAAAGTTAAAACAATAATTTTGACATGAGTGATACAACCTCTTCCACAAGGACCCCCAAATAAATTTTAGAAAATGCTAAATAGTTTAGTAATCACTCCCTCCAGTTTAGTAAGAAAAGAACAAAATAGAGGAAATAATAATAATGAACCCTTCTAGTTATGCAGAGAGCTGGTTCTTACCCTCTTCTAGCAACAGTTATTGGGCTTGTAGCTTTAAGAAGCTACAGCTAGAGTAGTTCAGAGAAAGTGACCTTTGTGGCTTGATATGCTGTACTCAAATATGCCTCCTCTTTTTTCACAGGCAATTGGAGAGGACCCAGATGATGCTGTGCACTGGCACCAATTAGGGCTCCATAGTCTCCGCACCCAACAGTTTAAAATGTCACAGAAGTACCTCAAAGCTGCAGTATCTCGATTTAGGGAATGCAGTTATGCCTGGTCCAATCTTGGTATCTCTTTACAATTAGCAGATGAACCATCTCAAGCCGAGGAAGCTTTCAAACGAGCTTTAATTTTGGCTTCTTCTCAGCAAGCACATGCAATATTTTCGAACCTAGGGAATTTGTACAGGCAGGAAAAGCAATACGATAGAGCAAAAGCTATGTTTACAAAAGCACTTAAGCTTCAGCCTGGATATGCTCCTGCTTACAACAATCTAGGTCTTGTATTTGTTGTTCAGGGCCTACTGGACGAAGCAAAGTTCTGCTTTGATAAGGCTTTAGAGGCTGATCCCCTTTTAGATGCTGCCAAATCTAACATGGTTAAAGTTTTGGCTCTGTCCAAGATATGCAAAAGTTTCCCTTCAAGCATAATGCAGGAATAATTTGGATGAGGATGTGGACTTTCATACTGAAGTTGGAGGAAGTATATATATATCCAAGATGGTTCAGAATAGATTTATCCTTTCGATGACTGGGGGTGAAATAACGACCCAATGAGAGAGTTTGATGGGCTTTTCTGTAATCATTTCACATTTCTGAAAAATTGGATTCGTCTGCAAAAATGCCTTGGCTGAGAATTTATGCCTTCTGTTATCTTTGGCAGTTAACATACATGGTAATGTCCTGCAAAATGTAGCTCAAGGAAAGGTCATCATGCGATTCATGCCTGCCTTAGCAATCCTGTGCTGTGTGACTGAGAAATGTATCTGATTTTGGTTATCACATATTCATATGGGCCAGTCCAGTAGGTCAGCTGCGAGATTGTCATCGTTGGTAGAAGGTTTGACGTTTTTGAGAACATGCATTTTCAACTTAGATATTGCTGATCGGAGTTGTAGCACACCAGGTCAAGGATAATCTTGTTCAAAGATTGTTTCTATGTGCTTGACCTCATGAATTGGAGGGGATTGTGAGAGGTACGAACAACTTATGCTGATTGCTCGTCATGGAATCTAGTATCTATGCTGTTTCCTCAGCCTTTTCCCTGGGAAGTCCCTCTTTCCGTAAAGCTGTATTCTGCTGATCGAGTCGTGTATTTTATTAGGGAAATAATTTAGTACAATACCAGGTCACTTCATCGCTGTATATAGAGATCAAAACAAAATTAGCCAATTATTACACAAGCCAATGACATTTTCCATCAGAGTTCACTTATCTCTATCACAATTTATTATCCAAGCGGTAAATGTGATCTAATTTTTCTCTTTGTTTTTGTTACTATATCAATAAGAATGTGATCTTGGCTAAGATCTTATTCATATCTGATATCATTTAAGTTTTATGTGGTTGGACTAGAAAACCTCAAAATTTTCTGGTTTTGTGATGTTTGGCTCAGCAATCAAATTATCGAACAGTTACGAGTAGAGCGGGCAAAAAGTCGTGTCGTTTTCGTATTTGGTCTCGTGTCAACAAAATCTATCAAAAACTATGTAAAATGTAGGATAATTGCATGATGATTTGACCACTTTATCTAAAAGGTAGTGTTCTTTTCGTGTCGTATCGTGCCAATTTCGTAATTTCTCTTAGTAACTGTGTTCTTTTCGTGCCGGTTTCGATCGTGTTGTTGTGTCATGTCAGAGCTTGCCAACTCTAGTTACGAGTATCTTGAACTACAAATTATTGATTTCGCTATTCATGTGTCTCGATACAGGATAGCTTGCCAAAAACAGGTATGGACATGAGTCTCTTGTATCCCACTGATTCTGCAAAAAATAAAAAAAAATTGATTAGTACATAAATAAATTTTCTTGACAGTGACTTTGTTATTGCACATTTCAATTTGTGGATGTGATTGCATTTTACATACAGTTTATCAGTGTCCATACAAATGAAAAAGAACTTGCTGGAAAGTGGTTAGAATCCTACAGAACACCCCCTTACAATCCTCTCGAATATTCTCCTGCTCATTACATAAAAGTAACTTGCTCCTTCAACCTCACATAACTCAAAATCACTCGATCTTCGCTTCACTCCATGGCTGCAACAACATCCTCCCTTGCAATCCACATCCCCAAGTATCACTTCATCATCAGCTCATCATGTTCAAAACCCGGTTCGCTACCTGTTTCCCGGTCATTAAAACCGTCTAACAACCCTGATAAATCATTGTCTTTTGCTAAAAATTTGGCAGTTGCTAGTACTGTCTTTTCACCCCTTGCTACTTCCCCTTTAGCCTTAGCAGCAAAGCAAATAGTCGAGTCGCCTCAGGAAGATAACCGAGGCCTTATCCTTCTGGTGCCTGTTGCAGCTGCTGTAGGGTGGGTGCTCTTCAACATCCTGGGGCCTGCATTGAACCAGATCAACAGAATGAGAAGCGAGAAAATGACAATAGTTGGACTCGGACTTGGCGGGTTATTAGCTGCTGCATCAAGTGCTGTTATTGTGCCTAGTGCTTCGGCTGCAAGCGAAGTTGCTGAAAGTGAGGGTGCTTCAGGGGGTGGTAGTCAAGGTCTGCTTGCGTTGATCGTCGCTGGTGCTGTGGCTTTAGAGGTGGTGATGTTGAATAGCATGCAATCAAAGTATGAGGAAAAGGGTGGTGCTAGTGATTAATTAATTAAACTTTTGATAGGATTAGTGTATATGTATGTATATCAAAATGTAGCAAAAAAAAGAATTCCCTTGACTGAAATTACATGGAGTATATTCATATCATCATAATAATAAATCAGGCAGCTTTCATAAGTATGAGGTCCAAATTCTATGACATAACAAATACAAAGTACAATAAAAGGTGTACGGTTTCTTCATTCAATTCCTCCCAATGTTTAGGAATGAATGACCCAACGACATATCTTTTGGACACATAATTTAAGAAAATATTGAATGATGATCATAAAATGAGTTGTTTAATGTAAAGTACAGTTAGTAAAAATTCTAATAATATTTGTCCCTTTCTATCTATAAATATCTTAAATTATTCTACAATGGATGAAAGAGAGAATGTGTTATTTTTTCTTGAAACAAAGGGAATAACACACTATGTTCGATTATTATGCAAAAGTCCATGTTAAAGGGATATAAAAGCATGAACCACAAAGAATAAGCAAAAATTACAAATCACATAATGATAATAATAATAATAATAATAATAATAATAATAATAATAATAATAATAATAATAATAATAATAATAATAATAATAATAATAATAATAATAATAATAATAATAATAATAATAATAATAATAATAATAATAATAATAATAATAATAATAATAATAATAATATCTCCAACAGGACCGGGTTCGCTATAGCTAGAGGGGTGGGGGCCCATATTATATCTCGGTTCCCCACTAATTTCTTGTAATCGTTTGACTTTGTAGGTTTTTATAATAATAATAGTAATAATAAATAAATAAATAATTAGAAAAAAAAAAGGGTAAAAGGTAGAATTCAGGTGACAAATACGTGCAACTGATTAAACCCACCTCTCATCTCTCAAAGTCTCGAGTAGATCAGAGAATCCTTGCATTGCCTTTAAATGTCATGTACACTTTTCTTCTTACCATTTTTAGTGTTTTTATTTATGGGCCCATTCGTTAGTCGTTACCATTGCTCTTTTAAGTTGTTGGGAACCACTTTATATGAGTAGATTGAAATAAATTATGTAATTCCAAAGGTGGTTTAATAGGCCCATTCATGACAAATTGGAAAATTAGTTTCAAATAATTGCATAACTATAAGCATGTCATTATTAGAATTGGATAATTAAGTATGGATCCATCTTTTAAGTATAAAGTGAATTGTTTCTTTTTGATATTTTGTTTAAAATCTCACAACTTTTCACAATTTCAATGAATCTCAATTTATTAGATATTCAATATGTAATACTTCCTACTAATCATATCACTAATATATAAAGCCGGTCTCACAACCAGGCCATGAGACAACGACACTTGGCATTCCAGTTTTTCGTCAAGTGTCGAGTCACGTAAGTGACAAATAGGTATTAATATGGCAAATAGGATGCTAAGTAAGCGAATTTTGGATAGATTTTTTTAAGATAAAAATGTTATATAGTGTTTTATTATCAATATATTTCTAATATTTCATCTATACAAAATTAATCATAACTTTATATAAATATCTTATAACTCAGTACTACATAAAATTCGTTTTAAAAAATTCTTTAAAATGAGATCCATTTATAATATATTTAAAAAATAATAGAAAATCAGTAAAAACAAGTTTTAAGTAGAAAAAATAATTTAAAGTTTGGTAAAAATACTACTTCATTAGAAATACCAGTAATAATTTAAGTGCAATAAAAAAACTTTAAGTTAATAATAAACATAGATATCCAGTTACAAATAAAACTACAAAAAAAGTACACTATTATATAAATACAAAATACAAAAAAAGTACACTATTATATAAATATAAGCGATATGATATTGTATGTCTAAATATTTCACATTATCAAAAGGGATTATATGATCGTATTTAACATTTAAGCTAAAATGTTTAAGATAAAAGAGTTATAAATATCCTATAACTCAGTACTATTTCCATCATCAAATTCGTTTTAAAAAGTTCTTTAAAATAAGACCCATTTATAATATATTTAAGCACAAATTTTTATATGTAGTTGTTCAAACCATGTCACCAACTATTATAAGAGTTACTTCGTGAGTGCTATAGGGTTACTTGGTCAGTGTTATAGTGGTTACTCAATTAGTGTTATAGATAGGGGTTACTTAGTCAGTGTTAGAGGTTACCCAGTTAGTATTACAAGGGTTACTCGGTCAGTTTTATAGGGGTTACTTTGTCCAACCAAATGGTGTGGCTAGCCGCATACAAAATGCATTGTTATTTAATTTATTTTAAAAAAATTAGTAGAGAATCCGTAAAAATAAGTTTTAATCTGTAAATTTAATTTTAGTTTGGTAAAAATACTTTAACTTCAGTGAAAATAATTTAAGCTCTTTTCAAGTCAATAATAACATAGATATTTATTTACAAACAAAAATACAAAAAGTACACTATTATATAAATATAAGCCATATGATATCGTATGTCTAAATATCCTACTATACATTATCATAACGGATTATATGATCGTATATATTAACATTCAAGTAAAAATGTTATCTAAAATTTTTATCAACCATCTGGCATCGCCCAATAAATAAAGTCGGTCTCGCAGTCAGGCCACGAGATAGTGACTCTTAGCATTTAAGTTTTTCGCCAAGTGTCGAGTCACGTAGGCGACAAATAGGTATTATTGTGACCCATATAATGCTAAGTAAGCGAATTTTGGATAGATTTTTTAAGATAAAAATGTTGTATAAAGTTTTATTATCGATATACTTCTAATATTTCATATATACAAAATTAATCATAACTTTTAATAAATATCTTATGTTCTATTTTTATCATAAAATTCGTTTTAAAAAATTCTTTGAAATAAGATCTATTTATAATATATTTAATTTATTTATAATATAATAGAAAACATACTAGAAAAAAGTTTTAATCAGTAAAAATAACTTTAGTCAATGTCAAAAAAAAAAAAAATCAAGTTAATAATATCATAGATATCTTTTTACAAACAAAACTACAAAAAGTACACTATTATATAAATAAGCGATATGATATCGTATGACTAAATATATTGCATTATCAAAAAAAAATTATATAATCGTATATAACATTCAAACCAAAAAATTTATCTTAAAATTTATCAATAATTCGAACATCATCCGGACACAAAACTAGTTATCCACTTAAAAATGGCTCCAGTATATGATAATAAAACTTACATAAGACTATCAACATTGGACGGAGACATGAGCTAGGCCAAAGAAAAGTCGTGTCAAGCTAAACTTAAGCCCACAAACCAAACAAAAAATAAAAAATAAATAAGCGCAATAATTCTATGTGCAATTATCCCTATGATCGATTATTTTTGTCAATATAACTCAATACTCCGTATAATGCGAACATATTCCCTTAATGACATTTGGAAGAGTTGTAATTCCATAAATACAACCACTTTTTTTATAAATCTATTGTCCATGACACTGTTTCACGAATTTTATTTTTATGATATACTGTATTTGTAGAAGTACGGAGTAGTAGTTTTCATTCACTTGGTAAATCACTCCTTGAAATAATGGTTTAAGGTTTATACTATAATAAAAGAGACCATATTTTTGAATTTGGATGATTTAATAGCATTATTGAGGGGAAAGGGTAGGGGTGTCCGTTCGGACTTTGGATTGGACTGAAGCCTAGTCCAATCCATTCCGAAATATAATTGGACTCTCATTTTATAGTCCAAATTCAAATTCAAAGTTTTCAAATTCCAATCCAATCCAATCCAAATTAAAATTTCATAGCTGAATCCAGTCCGATTCAATCCGAATTAATAATAAAAAAAAAATTCCTAAGAAATTCATTAGAATCATAACTCCAATAAACAAAACAAACTTTAATTAACTTACAATGTAACAATACAAATCATAAATCCAAGTCTCCAAACACTACAAATATAGAAAATATGTCTTGATAAATAATTAGGTAATTAGGTGATTTAGGTAATTAGGTGATTAATAACACTTATTATTATTATTATTATTATTATTATTATTATTATTATTATATATATATATATATATATATATATATATATATATATATATATAAATTCGGACTATTTGGACTTAAAAAATTTGAATCCAATTCAATCCGAAAATCCGAATTTCAAAATATTTGAGTCCAAATCCAATCCAAATTAAAAAAAGTCCAATCCAAATAGCTTATTTTGACTGGATTGGATTGGATTTCGGACTGGAGTCCGAATAATGGACACCCCTAGAAAAGGGTCGTATAACACTACTATATAAATAAGAACTACTCCGTATTTAGTTATGGATTGGAAAATGACAAACATAGTTCTAAGAATTGAATTTTAAAAAAGGAAATATTGAGGATAAATTAACATTAATTCCACCGATCTACGCGTAATTTTTTCATGAATTCCCAACTTAATTCCATTTTAGAAAGTATATTTAATGCTTATATACTCCTTTGTTTTTTTTATAAGTTAGAGTTGGAATCTTCCATTATTTATATGTCTTCATTGACTTAATTTTTTTACCATTATATATTACGAAGTATATAAATATGATAATATAATATGTTGTTGGATTTGTCATAATATCTACTTTTATAAATTGATTTTTTTTATAATTTAGACTAGTCTCTAATTACAGATATTAATAATTGAAATTATATATCGGTAAATATACAAATTTAACTCTAACTTTTAGAGGAAAAATAAAATAAAATATAGCCCTAAGGGCTACATATATCATACCCTTTAACACACACTGACACCCTTCAATACGTCCCATTCATACAATAATAACCCAAACACTCATATAAAATTAACAACTAACCCAATATTCTATTCCAAACAAATAAACCCCTTTACACTTGCATGCAACAAATCACATAACACAACCATGAAACTTCCCACCATCCCCAAACTCCCACTCCTCCTCCTTCTCCCTCTCCTCATCCTCCTCCTCACCTTCCTCTCTCTCTCCTCAAGCCGACCCACACCCACCGACCTCATTATCCGACCCGAATACACCTCCTACCAATCCTACCTCACCCACCAACTCCACAAAACCCTAAACCCCAAACTCCGCAAAATCTGGCTCACCCGAGATTGGACCCGCAAAATCCACGTCTTCTCTCTCTTCTTTCTCTCTCTTCAAAATTCCCACCTTCTCTCCAACCAATCCAAAGCCCTCTGCATTGGCGCACGAGTCGGGCAGGAAGTTGCCGCGTTAAAGCGAGTTGGAGTGAGTGACTCAGTTGGAATCGATCTGGTGCCGTACCCACCGTTGGTTGTTTTCGGGGACTTTCATTCTCAGCCGTTCGATGATGAGGTTTTTGATTTTGAGTTTTCGAATGTGTTTGATCACGCGCTTTTTCCGGAGAAGTTTGTGAAGGAGATCGAACGGACGTTGAAGGTTGGTGGGATTTGTGTGTTACACGTGGCGGTATCTAAGCGGGCTGATAAGTATTCTGCTAATGATTTGTTTAGTGTTGATCCGTTGGTTAAGTTGTTTAAGCATTCTCAGGTGGTTTATGTTAGGGGTATTGATGGGTTTGGGCTTGATACTGAGGTCGTTTTTAGAAAAATCAAAGAAATTAATTGATTGGTTGATTTTAATACTTTTATTTAATCTGTTTAAAAAAAAAAAAAAAAAAAAAAAAAAAACTTATTAAATCTAGTGTATTAAAAAAAATTGAAATTCCGAAGGAATGATTATTGGTTATTGATCATTGATGATTTTTTATTGATATGAATACGGCATGAGGATGTTTATGACGTACATTGAGTGAGTGATACGAAATATATACTTGTATCGGTTTGTATGTCGTTATTGTGGTGTCATGAGATTAGAATTGTACGGAACTTATTTCTAAACGATATGCAGGATGCAATAGTTTACGAGTAATTGGTTATTTGAATGGACAAAGAAAGATACATTTACATCTAAAATTGTTATTGTGGAGCTTTAAGATGATTGTTAGGAGTAGAACATATTATGGTATGAGTCAATATGATTTTTTTTTTCTTTCTAATTTATGTAAGTATGTCTCTAACAATTGTAAATTTGTGTATGTTTTTAACGCTCAATTTGTTAGAAAAAATAAAAAAATTTGTATATCAACCAAATATCTAACGGTGGTCATATTGGTCAACGAGTTCATTGCCACTTTTCCGGCAGAGAAATCCATAGTACGTACTATAGGAGTGCAAGTTGATTTCTCACAAATTTGGCAAATGCAAAAGTGCCAATAATGCAAAAGCCCAACTCCGTAAATGGTCTGATTCTGTGAATGTCAGAAGCAACTGTATGAAGAAGATTGAGTTGGTCCACTTGTTAACATCTTCAAATGGATGTGCAGTGCTAGATCTTGTGTACAGTGTACCCTTCAAAAGGGAAAGGAAAGAAAATAAATGCTCATTACCAACATTGATCACGTACCCTAATGGTTGTGTACTTGTGTGTAGTGGTTAATTTTGGTCATCATTTCTCTTCTATTGGTTATAATTGATTAAAGAAAAAAAAAAAAATTGATCTCTATTAGAGGTGACAATCAGGTCATTTGGATTGAATCAATTCAGTTTAGATTGGGTCATTTTCGGTTCTATTGTCAATATGCTTATTTTAATAAAAATTTCATTATTATAAACATTAATTGTCAATTCTAGTACTTCGTATAAGTCAGGGATAAACAATGATTTTAGATAGAGTTTGGATCTTGAGTCAAGGTATTTTGAATTGGGTAATTGTGTATATTTTGATGGGCCTAATCTCTACTAACCTTGGTTCTTTCCATTTTCTTGCTCATATCTTTTGTTTTGGATATCTCCACTACTCGGCGAAAGCCGAAGCCTTTATTCTTCCCATTATCTTATCCGTCATATACATATACTTACCTTATAAAATCAACTTCTCTTCTCTCAATCTCTTGCCACAACCAAAACCCACAGTTGGTTGTGCTTCAATCACACTTATTATACATATGCTCTTTACAATAAGTGATACAAGTAGTATCTGAAATTCTGAATACAAGAGCTCACTGTAAAAAAAACAATGAAATGAGATTTTAATTCACAGCTTGTTACATAAGAGAAGTGAGCTAACTCTTACAAAGAATCAGTGATCTTACTGCTATAAAATATGGAGTAAAGTAAGTTTTATAGAGATATACAAGTGCTCAAAGCTTGCACATTCATTAAAAGCTTTGGAAAATTACCAAACTCTCATCTTCAATTCATAAACAGTTTAACTAGCATACTGCTTTACAACAAGGCTCCCACAAAAATCCAAGTCAAATCTTTCCTCTGGTGGATCTCCGATGCAATCAAAAACTGCATCAGCGTTCTCAAAGTCTTCTTCGGCAGTGTAACTGCAACAGATAGAGAAATTCAGTAATAATCATAAATTTAAAATTGATGATCTGATGCAAAATTCAGAATGTTGTACATGCAGTCTAAAGACTGCAGCAACTTACCCGCTTTTGGTCACTATGCACTTCATTCCAGCTGCTTTGGCGGCTGCAAGACCAATGGCACTGTCCTCTACCACAACGCAACTGTGAACATTAAGATAACATTAATATTTCCTCTACATTTTTGTTGATCTATAGCACAGCTTAACATCTTACAGCCTTTATTTCTCGCTATTACAAAAGAAAAGCATGAAATCACTACTCCAGTACCTTGCAGGGTCAACACCGAGGGTTGTGGATGCTAGTGTATAAATGGCCTGTTAAGAAGAAAAGAATCAACAAGAAAACTGATAGCTTTACTCAACAAGAAAACACAAGAAAATATAGATAACTAAGTTGGAGGGCATATGTTTGTTTCGGTCCTTTGTGAAACAATGAACATACAAAATTACAAAGGAGCTAGTGGCAGTAGTGGCCTGATGATACTAATGTATACTCTGTACTATTCATATGAAGATCAAATAAAGGAAAGGAGGAAAGAGACTATACTGGATCAGGCTTCTTTCGAGGGACAACATCTCCGGCAAAAATCTGCATCTTCTCTGCTCGCTCAGGACCCAACAAGCATGAAACTATTGCAGAGACCTGAAACCAATATGTTCACTGTTCAGTGCATCCATCGAGCTGATTCCATAAGTCTTTCATAAGGAATAGAAAGGGGTGCTGGTAGTTTCAAGCGTAAATTGATATAGTCAAACTGTTATACAACTGATTACTGTTCGTTGGTTGTATTTCTTGAGTTTTGAATGTTGATCTAGCAACCTAGGCAAGTTAGGGCATCATAGCTCAGATTTATAAAACTAGTGATATACTGCCTTCTAATAATTAACGTTCAGATTGTTTTCAGCTATTGACTTTAGCATAAAAAACACAAAGCATACCGCTTTTTCATTAGATGTGCTGCACACGGCAACCTTGACTCCTTTTGCCAAAGCCTGATCAATCAGCCTGCACAACATGAGAACAGAACATTCCAGATCTTTTTACCTGAAGAGTAAACAACTGAATTGATGTACTTTCTAATAATAATGTGCAAATGTCAAGAGCTATCCAAGTCTTGGGATCAGATTTTATCTACATCATTGCCCTTTGTCGCTCATCAAAGGCTAGATAATCTTCAAAAATGTGGACTTGAACAAATACGATGTATAATGGCATGATAAAATTATAAACATGACACAAGTACATCTTAACTATGAACAAGAATTCAGAAAACTTGATTTGTTTAGTTGGCGAATCCTAAAAGTCTCATGTTGACTAAACCTGAAAAGGCTAGTTCTACTTGGTCTTTCACTCCATAATGATGAGTTGATGAAGAGGATTATCTAGCTAAACGGAAAGAAGTTCCATCCTTAAAAAAAGGCACTATATCCTGACAATGTTTGAAGATACAATATGTACATGGAGGCCATAGCACAATTTGTATTTGCTTCTTTACCATGTTAAGGAAAATTGTATAAGCTGCCAACAATGTGTAAATCCTTCACCAATGTTTGCTCAGAATTTGTTTAATATCACTTCCAAACTAAGATGAAAACAAACACTTAACAAAAGCATAAACTCAACTAACATACTTAGCAGCGCCTGGCCGAAGAGGCAACAGCTTCTTCTCAATAAGTGCCATAAACAGCTCTGTCTTTCTCTTGTGCAAAGAAGCAACAAATTCTTTTCTCTCTGCATCACCTGAAGGAGCCTTTTCTGGCCAACCCACCTGGTTGAAGTAGGCAGTCATCCTATACAAGCAGGCACAAGATTATACAATCAACAAATGCTTCAGGCGTAAGAAGTAATTCAGTTGTGTTCATAACTTCATAAACGTAAGCAATATTCAAATGGTGGAAAAGAATGCCGCCGAAAAGGAGATGGAGAAAGATCAAGACACTCAATACTCCATATTAGGATGATGTACTGCTTTTCCTAAATCAATATTAAATTCTTTGTACACAATATAACATTTTAGAATGACATGAAAAAGTTGTCGCCTTTCCTAATATTTTTTTTAAATTCTTGATTAAATTTCCTAATAAGTGGTATGGCGGGAAGCTGGGGAGACCCAACTACTATAAGGATAATGTTGTAAAATCACATGATATACTTAATTACGAGGGGTTAAGGCGACGTGACAATTGTAGTAAGTAGCTTTTTTTTTTTTTTTTTTTTTTTTGAACAAATGTAGTAAGTAGCTTTTGACACAAGGATAAAAAAGATAGTATTACCTTTCCTTTCCACCTCCAATCTTGAGCAATTCACCATACAAATCCACATCCCAAGATACACCCAGTCCCCTCTGTGCATTCATTCAAATTTCAAAAGTCTGAAATGAATTCATGAAGATGTTGAAGCATAAACTCATAAAACCATAAGATATCACCAAATTTCAACATTTCTCCTCTCCCAAAACATAATCTACTCGGGATACTAGGCAAAATTTTCATCTAAAATCCTATCAAAATTCAATCTGAAAAGGCTTTTATCTTTCAAATTAATTTAGAATACATGAAAATGATCAATCACTAGCTTAGAATGAAAAACAAAAGGAAATACGGGTAGCATTGATAACTTGATAAATTTGAACCTCTATTGTGCACCCGGGTATACCTCGAAAAATACAACCATTGTTAATGTACCCGAATGCATTTAAGAATTTGTAAATAATAATTAGCAGACCAGTAAATACCCATGTCACAAAATCTTCACACATTTAGCAAATTATAATCAAATGTTCAAGAACAACCAAATGTTGATCATATATACATAAAAGAGCAAATAAAAACCCAAAAAACTTTAACAAAAAAAAAAAAAAAAAAAAAAAAAAAGAGGTAAAAAATGTGAAGAACATACTTCAGTAAAAGTATCATTGAAAGAAACTCGATGACCATCTCTTTCAGTATCAACAAGAACACCATCACAATCAAAGAGAAGAGCTGCTGGAGGAGCAGGGGGTGAAACAGAGCAATTTACAAGACTAGATCTTTTTTTCATGCTCCTTAATTTTTTTGTGTTTAAATCATTAGAAATAGCTAAATTTTTACCAAGGAAAGAAGAGGGTGATATGAATTTTGCATTTTGTTGCTTAATATTGCAAATTTTGAACAATTTTGTGTGGGAAGATGAAGGAGCTGCTGTTGATGGTGAGTAAATGACTGAGGAAGCCATTAAAGAAAAACTTGAGAGTGGTTGTGTGATTTTCTCTCTCCTCTAGTACTAAAATTAGGAGGAATTATGGATTGCTTTATCTGTCACCAGCCACTCTTTATGGTGCAATACAATGGTCCTACCTTGGAGATTCGAAGGGAAATTAGCTTGGCCTCTCATTTTGATTTGCAATTGAGGTTGTTGATTTGATTTGCAAAGTTATGATTTGATTTGCACTATGTTTTTGTTGCCTAATAAATGTTTTGTTGAACTTAATTTGACTTATTTGGATTAATTATGATAATTCAAATAGATTACGACCAAAGTGGTTTACATCTAAAAGTCGTTTGGTTTATTAAGGAAGTGTAAATTCTCATGAAATTTCAATTTGTAGGAATTAAATTTCATCATCAAAATAGTAGGAATTCAACAAATTTGTTTGATTATAAAAATGGAGGAAGTAAATTCCCATAGGAAACTTACTAATTTGGGGGGGGGGGGTGTTAAGGTAAGTAAAATTCTCATATTTTGTGGAAAACCAAAACTTCCCATGAATTGTCATTGCCCCCATTTTCACTTTTTTTGTATCAACCAAACAAGAAGTTAAAAATGAAATTCGTGGGAATTTTGAATGCCCAAAAAAAAGAATTTAGCCAACCAAATACCTAAGTTAGTTGAATTTGATTGCACATAATGAACCTCAAATTTGGATTTTTCTATTGTTTAATAAAAACAATGACCTTGTTTGGTTAGCATGGGAATTAAATTTCGGTAGGAAATTGCTTTTCATGGAAAGTTATTTCCCTAATAAAATTTCTAGGAATTTCCTAAACATATTTGGTTAGCAATGTGGGGAATTTAAAATTCCCATGAAATTTGATTGATCAAGAAGAGGTTTGGTTTCCCATGTTTGAAATCTTCTATTTTTCCTTTTGTATGTCAACCAAACAGCTATCCAAGATATTAACT